CCTGGGTAGTGTGCAAATGCCCCTGTGTAGTGTATAAACACCCCTGGGTAGTGTGTAAATGCCCCTGGGTAGTGTATAAATGTACCTGTGTAGAGTGTAAATGACCCTGTGTAGTGTATAAATACCCGTGGGTAGTGTGTAAATACCCCTGTGTAGTGTGTAAATGCCCCTGTGTAGTGTATAAATACCCCTGGATAGTGTGTAAATGCCCCTGTGTAGTGTATAAACACCCCTGGGTAGTGTGTAAATGCCCCTGTGTAGTGTGTAAATACCCCTGGGTAGTGTGTAAATGCCCCTGTGTAGTGTATAAACGCTCCTGGGTGCTGGGAGGGTGGTGTTCCTCAACTCCATGGGGCAGAAGTTTCTGCTCTGTGGTCCTCTTAGACCTTGCCTTTGTCCCGCATCATCGGGCTGCTCATCCAATTCTTTAAAATATCCTTTGAACAAACCAGTAAATGCAACTCAACAATTTCTCTCAGTTCTGTGAGCCATTCAAACAGACCTACTGAGTCCAAGGAAGGTACCTGATTTATGACTGCTGGGCCACATGTTCGGGGTCCAGGTTCGAAACCAGCATGCGAAGTGGGGGCAGTCTCGTGGCCGTGGCCCTTAACTTGTGGCATCTGGTGCTGCCTCCGGGCAGCTAAAGCAGGAAGTTGGTCGGATTGTGTTACACCCAGCTGGTGTGCAGAGGTGGAGAACTGCTCCATGTGCAAAACTTAGACAACTACTTCCGAAGTGAGGTGCGATGGGAGAGATCGCAGAGAAGGGAAAGTCGTGTGCTGTTTTCTAATGGGGTTTAGAAGAGGGGTGGGGGGCCCTGGTAGTGACGCACAGAAGCCGGTCTGCTGCTATGGTTGAGTCAGTGGGTTCTGGAATGGGTTGTTAGAAGCTGGGGGGCCTTGAGTTCACCACAAACCTTCGCTCCATCTCAGTTTCGCCATCATCAAGGTGGGGGAAAGAGGAACATCCAGCCTTAGAGGGTTGTTCTGAAGATGACTCCATACAAACACATGATAGGGCTGGTGTGGTGCTTTGAATAGGAATGACCCTGTGGACTCATCTATTTAAATGCGTGGCCATTAGGGAGTGGTGTTACTTGAAAGGGGTTGGGAGGTGTGGCCTTGTTGGAGGAAGTGTGTTATTAGGAGTGGGCTTCGGGGTTTCAGAAGCTCAAGCCAGGCCTAGTGACTTGCTCTTCCTGCTGTCTGAGGATCCAGATGTGCCTCAGGATATTTAATACCATGCAATAATGAAGATGATGGTCAAAACACCAAGTTTACATGGCACTTCTTATATACCAATTGACATTTTATAGCTAGACTTGATCCTTACTTCTTTTTTTTGTTTTTGTTTTTTTTTTTTTCAATACAGGGTTTCTCTGTGTAGCTTTGCGCCTTTCCTGTAACTCACTCTGTAGACCAGGCTGGCCTTGAACTCACAGAGATCCGCCTGGCTCTGCCTCCCAAGTGCTGGGATTAAAGGCGTGCACCACCACCACCGCCCGGCCTGATCCTTACTTCTTGTCCTTATTTTCAAATGTTGCTCACATGACAAAATTTATTAGTAACCCAAACACTAGTCCTTATACGATGCTGTGTGGCAGACACACACGGGCATGTGCCAAGAGGCGAAAATGAGAATCATCTGGCCTCCGTGTTTCTTGTGAAGCTCACACAGGGTAGTTTTCTGTCTCCTTGGCTGAATTATTATTCTGGATAAGTGCATTCTCCACAGTCCATTTTGTGTCCTCTTTTTGTTTTGTTTCACTGTTTAAAGGCCCCTGAGCCCAGCCCTGAGGTGCTGTCCCGTGGGTGCTTAGTTAAAGAAAGCTGTGGTGTGCCTCACAGAAGAAACAGATGAAATAGCTAAGTTTCATCCTGGAGTGAGCGTCAGGGCTGCTAGCCTCCAATGAGCTTACATGGTGAATGAGCCACATTTTCAAATAAGGTGCCTTGAAAGAGAAACATAGAACAAGGTCGGGTGGACAGAGGAGCCACTGAAAATGTGAGGGAAGGGGGCAGCGACCTGGGAGCAGTGGTTTGGAATCCACCAAGCCCCTGTTTACAGCCCCTTACAGGGAAGGCACGGGCCTGAAGTGAGCTGACGGCCCTGACTGTAATGACTCCTTTAAGCTAAGAGCCTCGGAGAGAAAAGGGCATGCGCAGACACTTACACCCTCCAATGCACCACTGCCTATTTCTTTTCCTGCCATACGGCTTCCTTCAGCTCTTTCCTGACCCAGCCATAGGCTATTTTCTTTGCTTTTTCATCTCACCTCCCAGTTTAGACACGTATCATCACGTCTGCCTCTGACGTTTCCCGGTGCGCTTTTTAGCATAAACTTAAATAGATTGACTTTATTGGTTATTCAATGAGAGTCCTGGGGGCTGGAGAGTTTAACATGGATAGAAACAAACAGAACCAGTCACACAACACCTTCGAGCAGGAGAAATCTGGTGCGCCAAGAGACGGTGGCCTGACCTTATTATTGAGAACCCACGGTTGATGGAACGGTCCAGGACGTAGCCATGAAAGGAGACTGAAATGGAGATGAAACGAGGTCCCTGGACACATGTGGGCCCACAGCAGTGAAGGATACAGAGTGGCTAGATGGCCAGGTCCTCACACTATCCAACTCAGTGGCAGGCAGGGTAGACAGGTAGACAGCACGAATCTGGAAGGATGAAGCAGCCCTGCAGAGATGGGACCGCATGATGGTCTAGAGCATTCCAGAAGGAACAAGGATAATGGATGCACCATGGCTGGGATACACGGAGCAGGGCAGCAACAGGCTGGGTGCCCGGCAGTTGAAATGTAGGAGATGGCCCCGCAAGTTAGTTGGTACAGGGAGGAGAGTCAGAAGTAAACGGGAGGAAAATGTGATGGGCTGCTTGGGCCATCTTTGTGACAAATACCCAGGCGATTATTTAAAAGGAGGAAGGATTTACTGTGGCTTAGTTTTCTAGTCTCTTCTGGGCGTGAGGTGAGGCAGAACATCATGGCTGTGGAAACATGTGCCCAAAAGCAGCCCAGGACACAGAAAGAGTCAGGAACGTGCCATGCTGCAAGATAGAGTCCCCAAGGACATGCCCCTAGGGACCTACTTCCTCCTGCTAGGAGTTTCTTCCTAAAATATCCAGCACCTCCCCCAAACACTTCCACGCAGCTGGGTGGGTACCAAGGCTTTAATACACAAGCCTGAGGGCTGCATTTCATATTCAAACCGTAGCAGAAGGTGTAGCCCAGGACCTGGTCCCTCTCTTGACTGATACACCAGAGTCGCCTGAGGTCTGGCCACTGTGGGTAGCTTCTGATTCAGGGGTCTGGGGTGAGGCCTAAATAAGATGCATTCCTGACAGATTCCTAGGGGCCTGAGGCTGCACTCTGGGATGATTGACATTTAGAGCCAGTGTGCTGGGGGATGTGAACGTCACTAGAGATGCTCCAACCTCCTCGGGCAAGCGGAAATCTTTCACTGTGAAGATTTGGTTTGCTGTCTTATCACACACATTTCAAATTCTCTTCCCAACAGTAAAAGTAAAGAAAAAATAATAATTACAAGGAGCTGCAGAGGGGAGCTGGCAAGATGGCTTAGTAGGTAAGTGCACCGTTTTCTAAGACTGAGGACCTGAGTTCAAGGCCCAGGTCAAGCCTCATGTGGTGGAGGAAGAGAACCGATTCCTAGAAGTTGTCTTTTGATTGCTACACAGGCACATGTGCACACACACATATAAAATAACGTAAAAATAAAAAAAAAATGTTAAAACAAGAAGAATAACATGAAAAACTTTAAATCATACCATTGAACTGAAATCTGAATGAGACAGAAAGAAACAGACTTGGGGACTTGCTCTGTCCACTGACTTCAGTGTTACAGGAAATAAAAGAAAATCTCTAGGCCGACTGATATAACATTAATGGAGAGTATAAAAAACAGACCACCCCACAGAGCATAAAATGGAAAATGCCAGCTTACCTGCCGGGGAGCTTGTCCATTAGGGCTTCTCTGGGTGTTTAACTTCTCTTCCTGAAACAAAACAAAGCAGAACACTAAGGGATACTTGTTGCCGCATTTTCACAGCGGGGCTGCGTGGAGAACATGACAGAAGATGGCATTTCCCGAGGGGCGCAGGGCAGTGATGTTGCTGTGGGGTTTCTGGCCTGAAACAGCCCAGGCAGGCAAGAGGTCTGAGGTTTGTTAGGCCTGACTTGGCAGCCCGGCTCCGGGCACTTAGCAATCAATCAACAATTAACTAACATCTCAGTGTTCCCATTCATAAAATGAGATTGTAATGAGATTTAAACGGCATAACATGTAAACTGTTCATCACACGCTGGGCATGTTGGACTACATCTGAAGATCTGGATGCTTGCATTCCCTTCAGAATTCAGATTGATGTTGAAACAATCCCCAGCATCAAAAGGTGGGGCTTTGGGAGGTGAGTGGATCATGAGGGCAGGGTCCTACAAAGAGGCCCTGGGAGCGCCTCTGGCCCTTCATCAAGCAAGATCCCAATGAAAAGGCCACTATCTAGGACATAGGAACTTAGCAGAGACCAGTTTGCTAGGGCCTTAGACTTCCCAGTCTCCAGAACTGTGAGAAAGATATTTCTGTTGTTTATAAACCACCCAGTCTAGGGTGTTTTGTTATGGTAGCCTAAACATATTAACATTGTTGTGGGTAGTGCCCATAAACACTGCTTATCAATATGCCTCCACTCTGATAGACACAGTTTCAATTAAAAAAGGAAGAAGAGAGACAGGGAGAGGAATTAAATGAATTTGATCTTTGGGGGTATATCAAGCAATGTTTCAACTAGTAAAAGTATAACCTTTGAATAAAATACATAATTTAGAAAATATCTTTGCTTATAATGAAAATGATGTATAGAATTGAGAAGGCAAAGAAATGTTCAGATTTTCACTTCTCTGTTTAGTAAAATACTTCACTATATACAGACACGTTTAAGACATGCTTTTATTCTACTTTCAAGTAACTAATAAAATAATGAGCTCCAACCTCCCATCTAACACCAGACGGTTACATACATCCAGTGATTCAATTTCATATTGTTAGCCATGTCTTCTCAGTCAGTAATCTATGTTTATTATGCAATAGTTTCCTAAAACTTGAAAACATTCATTGGCTATCCCTCATTCTATTGTTCTTAATTTTTCCTGCACCCCTCATTATTAATCACGAGCATTTTGAGGACATATTCCTTGGTTAGCACAGCAGGAGTAGGGTGAAGTGTATGCATTCAGGGAGCGATCCACCTATACTGGGAGGGCAAGAAGGCAAGAGCACACATAACATCACTCCGATGGTCTGTGGTGTATAAAATAAACAACACCGGACATATCCCGGAGAGGCTCAGCACTGAGACCGCACCACCGAGCAGAGCAGCTCTGAGATGCTGCCGGTTCCGAGTCAGGCAGACGGGAAACTAGTGATGGCCAGTTATGACAGGAAGGCCTTCAGGCAGACCGAGCTTGACAAAGAGGAAGCAAGGGGTGCTGTTTACTTAGCCAACAAAGAATTCTGAACTCCTGCTTTGTGTCAAGGTACCAGGAAGCTGCGGCAAATACTCTGCGGCTTGCTCTCTAAGGCGACAGCCTCCTGTGAGGAGGAAGGAGTATTCTAGATTCTTGATGTTTAAAGAGCAAATCAGTGAGGAGCCTGGGCAGGCCAAGGGTTTACTTGGAGGTCTGCAGCACTCCGTGAAGAAAGGTCGTAAAGAGGGAAGACACCTCTGCATGGATGGACTGGAAAGTTTGGGGCCAAAGAAACAGAAGGAGCAGTGGGGACGTTTGAGAGGAGGACCCAGCAGGGGTTCAGTGCCGAGGACCCCAGCCTTATTTCCTGGTGTGCTGTCTCAGAGGAAGTGATGCTCTTGCTTTGAAAAAGATATCGAACTATCTGTTGGAGGCTACTCTTCCGTGCTCACAGGTGTACAGTGAGACGTGACTGAGTCACACAGTTGCTAAGGACTAAAAACATGAAAGGTCAATAGGTCACTCTCCTGGACCCACCACTGGGCATGTCACATGGTGGGTAGACAGATACTGCAACCAGAGACAGAACGGCGTAGGAAAGAGCTGGAAGTGATTAACGGACAGGTGTGCTTCCGTCTGAGCGAAGGATAGACAGACCCCTCGAGAGAGCAGCATTGGCACTAACAAGGGCTGGAGCGATGGCCCAGCAGTTAGAGTCTTGCTGCTCCTCCAGACGGCCGGAGCTGGGTTCCCAGCACCCACACTGGGCATCTCACATGGCCTGTAACTCCAGCTCTAGGTGATCTGTCTGATGCCCTCTTCTGGCTTCCATGGGCACCTCCACACACACAGCGTATACATCACACCACTCACAAGAATGAAACATTTAAAAAATGGATTGAAGCCAGGATCCAAATACATGGGTAGACCAGTCTTGGAGTGCACAGTTCTTCTCATCAAGCTCCTCCGGGCAGGGAGCCTTGGGTGGCTTGGCGCTGCCCATCAAATCATTACCACCCTCAGCTCTGACTCCAGGGCCTCCATTACACAACACCCACGGCTTTCCCCAGTAACCTCTGAAACTCTAATTCCATTTCCAGTCAGCCTGGTGTGTTCAGTGTTTCAAAGGCTTCCAAGCCTTTCACACATATCATTTCCTTAGGGGCCTCCTTGCCCATCAATACCCTGAAAAATTCCCTTTACACTTCCAAGACATAAGGCTTACAGTCAAAACGTAAATAAATCAGCGTGAGACCCGGTGATGTAATACAGACTATCGGCAAAGTGCTGTCAACCTTCCCAAATGTTCCAGAGCTACAGTCCAATAATGATAACTGCTGCCCACACATGGCTATTTTACTTTAAATTACTGAGAATGAAATAGTTAGATGCTTGGTTCCCCGGCGGCACCACCCAGCCACTTTGCATGTTCTTAAAATATGTGTGTGAGTAGATGCTAACACACCAGGCTTCGGGGACGAAGCACATTGAATATTCTACTGGCTAGAGCTCTTTAGTGATTTTTTTTTTTCTCCCAGCACATTCGAGGACATTACCCCTAGAGGCATCACGTCCCTTATCTGTTGGTAAACCGTTTTGTATTGCTGGTATTCCCCCAGCCACTGCCCACGGAATAGAATCTGTACCGTTTGCCATTTGGTTCTCAGGTGGAGCCACACCTGATCTCCCAAGAGGTATTTCTTACTTCTCCCGACACCGCTGGACTCCCCACGGATGTGTGGCAAAGGTGGCTCAAAGTTCGCACATCTTTGAAAAGGCATTTTCATTTGGAAAGACGGGGCTAGCCCCACAGCCAGAAAGTTCTGAATTGGAATCTTAGCTTCACCACGAACGAGCTGTATTGCCTGGAGCAGATCTCCCAGCCTCTCTGGGCCTTTGCGCCCTCAGTTGAGGTCTGCAGATCATGGGCAACTCAGGATTGGCAGGCCATAAGGTGCAGATATGGCAGCCACCATTTCCGCTGCAGTTCCTTGCTGAGGCAATGAAGAGGTTGGTTTCCAGGAGGCCCTCTTCTGGGACAGGGGTAGCACTCCTTACCTCTCCTGCTCATCACTACCCAATTTTCTGTTTTTTTCATGAAGTGTTTGCCATTACCAGAGAGCTCAAGTACTTGTAACAGGAAGGGGGGTTTTCGCTTAAAGAAGGGCGAAGGAAGAAGAGCTACTGTTTCCTAGAGGCCCGGGACATGGCAGACTCACGCGTAGGAAGCGTAGCATCCTTCCATAGACCCTCCCCACGAGGCCTGGGGAGAGCGGAAGGATGCGAGGATGGTGCGTGGAGAAGATTTGTGGGTGGCGAAAAGGAAGCCGGGTAGCATTCAAATTTAGAAGATGGGCTCAGGTTAGGTCAGGAGGGGCCTTGAATGCCAGGGCACGAGGCTGGCAGTCTATAACTGGTAGCACTATGCTGGCTTCCTCGGTGGGCATGACAGAGGGGAACTGAGCCAGCCGGGACTTAATTGTAGATTGTTTTTTTGCCTCAGTTGGATCACAAAGTGGACAGGGTTTTTTTTTTTTTTTCCCCAATAACCTTCTGTTCGCTTCGCGAGAGGGAAACCGATTTCTTTCCAAAAGGCATTAAATTCTGAACATGATAAGCCTGAGTTGGCACTGGGCGCTTTTCCTTGTAATTGGCAAACACATTCAGGTCGGGGCCTCTGTTTTCCTTTGATGGCTTCCCACCCCCAACCCTAAGCAAGGTCATTATCTGAGCAGAAAGAAAAGATCTCACGCAGGGAGGGCTCCTTTCTCCCAACAGGCTTTGCAAGCTTTGCAACATCTTCCCTGGATACGGTTCAGCTGGGGGCCTTCTCCGTATTCCAAGAGGAATTCCTGGTCCTCACAGAGGGGCCTTTGTCGGCCGGGGTTATGAGAAGCTAACCGCTTGCCTCGCACAAGGAAGTATCTTTTCATGGTGTGAAGTCATGATCAAAGAGGACCCGTGAGCGAGAGCAGGAGGACAAAGTGGTGATTTACATCTAGAATTGCTACAGTGCCAAGAAGGGCCCTGGTCCTAGAGCAGAGCCCCATCGGCTCGACACAGAGCCTGCCTTTCACTCATCTCCTGATGGATTGCATTTTTAAAGATGTATTTATTTATTTTTTTTTTGTTTTTCAAGACAGAGTTTCTCTGCGTAGCTTTGCACCTTTCCTGGAGCTCACTTGGTAGCCCAGGCTGGCCTCGAACTCACAGAGATCCGCCTGGCTCTGCCTCCCGAGTGCTGGGATTAAAGGCGTGCGCCACCACCGCCTGGCCAAGATGTATTTATTTTTAACCAGGGTGTCTGAGTGTTTGCCTGCGTTCTCTATTTGTGTGCCACATGGCACACCATTCCTGGAGGAGCTAGAAGAGGAGTCAGGGCCCCTGGAAGTGGAGTTCCGGATGGTTCTGAGCTGCCATGTGGGCGAGACCCAAACCCTAGGCCTCTGCAAGAGCAGCAAGTACTCTTAACTGCTGAGCCATCTCTGATGGATATTAAAAGTTTAGTCCTCAGTATCTGTACAATTGGAT